CAAGACATATTATCATCCTTATTCACAAGAAATATTATCATTCTTATTCACAAGAAATATTATCATGTAATTTATTAGAAAAATTATTATATTCACAAGAAATATTGTCATACTTATTCACAAGAAATATTATCATACTTATTCACAAGTAATATTATCATTTTTATTCACATAAAATATTATCATTCTTGTCGACATGAAATTTCATCATTCCTTGTCGCAAGAATATAAAATTATCATCCTTATTCTTCAGAATATTATAATTTTTAGAATCAAAATTCCTATGAGACAATACACCTATCACATCAATATAATATTTGGTAATTTTTTTAGAGAGATCCTAAGATAACTAAGCCAACAAAATGCATATAAATATCAATTTAATTTTTTACTGGCAATTTCCTTATTAAAATCAAGCTAAGCGCAACAATTTAGTCCACCTCCATTGCTTGACAAAGAGATTCATTACATGTTAATTAAAGTATATGAAAATATCATTATTGCAGTACTGGCAGAATCTTCCCCACACCCCTCCCTACTTTGGGGATTCAGTATACAGTTAACATCAGTAGAAATAAACTAATAATGATTATTGATTAACTATTATCAATCAATTAAAGTGAATGACTAGTTAGCATTAAATGGGAAAAAATGGAAATAACCATAACAATAAGAGAAACTTAAACAAAATAAAACTGGGCTATAACAATAAAAGACGTAAAATCTCACGAAAAAATCTTCTGGACGTGAATCAAAGATTTAATTTATACAGTAGGGAATTTGCTACTCTGTTTTCAAAAATATTTTCAGAAAAAAATATTTAGGTCTTCATTAGATTTTTAAAAGGAAAATTAAGTGACATGAGTAATCACTTTTTTTGTCTTAATTAAGAATGCATAAAGCTGTGTAGCTGGCAAAGGTGGTACACCACAACTGCCAAAATATATTTTAAAAACGTATAAAGGTTAATGAATAAAACTCTCCAAAACAAAATGTTCAACTGCTAGTTGTAGATGGGTGTAACTATGACGTTTACTCATGTGACTCAGACAGGACGTCCATATTATCTGATCATGGCCTGACATTGTGCGCTATTCAGTCAGTAACTTATTTTGAAATTTTCCCCTAAAATAATTGATTGTTATGTCAAGATTAAAAGCTGGAGAAGTCAAGTTAAGATATTTTGTGTAGTGAGGATAAAAACAATACACAAAAAAATGTAAATTTTAAAACAACACAAGTGTTTCCCAATACATTTAGCAGTTTTCATTTCATTTTCACATTTCAAATCATGTTGCAAGCCAGTGCTAACAAACCCCTGGTAAGGATATTTTATAACATTGGAAGAAAAGAAAGCAGGAAATTGTACAAATAAAATCACAAACTTGCCTGGGTGATGACGAAAAAAAATCCCACAAACAAACATATAATTACTATTGCACTGATATTAAGACATTAAAATTTCTTTGAAAAGTCTAACAGAAATTCTTTTTTTTTTATAATTAGTCTTTACCAGTAAACATCTACCAAGAATCATACAATTTAGGTATATTGTGATTCATAAGGTGTTAAGTTTTTATTCAAATCTACATTGTTAAGATAAGATGACTGGTAAAAAATGAACATAATGCAAAAACCAGTGCATTCACTATATTCAGTACAGACTAGCATTAAGGTCAAGCTATCCACCTTCCATAAGGTAAAAATTTCCCAAAATGATAACGACCAGACAGAATTCAAACCCACAACAATACTCAAGTGAAATAAAACAAGTGCATGATAGTCTGTTTGGTGGAGGGTAAATAATAAGTTACTCCAACACTTGTATCAGTCACAATGCAACTTTCAAATTTTACTGGTAATGCCAGACCTTATAGAGTGCATCTTTGAGTAATATTTTAGGCATAAACCAGCTTGTTAGTATAACCACTGTAAGCTAGATTCTAACTTCCTCAAATGAAAAAAACACCCAAAGTTTCTGCTTGTTGATAACAACTACGAACATTAGCTCTGATCATCATAAATGCCGTGATATACATTTATCATGTTTATAAATGTTTTTCAATTTTATATAGACCGTTTCATGGTAAAATGATGCTTAAAGTCATGGCCATAACTTCTAAATATAGTAATGTCAATCATACTCAAATATAGCCTAGTAAAGATCTAAATATAGTAATGTATATTCCTATGTGATCTAAATATAGCATCATACATTGGTGAAATGTTAATACTAGTAAAATCTAAATATAGCCTAAAGATCTAAATATAGTAACATACATAATGGGACAACATGCCTATGTGATCTAAATATAGTATCATATACTAGTATTCGGTGACATCATTATGGCACATTCAGCTTTTGCTGAATAACTTCAATAACATATAAGTTGTGCATCTTTTATCTTAAAACTAAAAGAAAAGAAAAAACATGTACACAAAGAAAAAGACCTAATGGCAAGATTTAAGTAAAGCATGAAGTTTTGTCAAACTTGGTGAAACACCAAAATTTCAAGATAATGATATAATGAATAAATCAAATAAATTTTCAATTCCAATATACAAGTAAAGGAATGTACACTTTTTTATATAAATCTCCCAGATATCTTTATAATATTAAACTAGAAATGTGTCATCATGCCACGGATGCCCCCGCATGCAGCCAAAATTTCAAATGTTATAATATTTAGTTCCAAATTTGTTTGCACAAATTATTTTTTTCATTCTAAGTTCAAAGCCCTTAAAACTTTTCAATGTTAACACAAACCATTTTTATACAATGTTCAAGGCACTGAAATTATTCAGTCTTAACCTTTTAAAAATAGCATATTGCATATTTGTAGCCAACAAAATGGCTATATACATTTCCACAAAAGTATGAGTGCTGAAACTGAAAGTTCAAAATTTTTCCAACATTCAGGAAAGATAAGTTTGTCTAAAATCATTGAACCACGACCAAATTCAAACTTAAACTGCTTATTCCTAAGATGTATCTATATTATTTTCAAAGTGAAAGGGACATAACTCTGCCAAAAAATCATCGAACCATGACCAAATTCCAACTTGACCTGCGCATTCCTTTGACATATCCATATGTCAATTTTGAGTTGAATATGTAACACTGTTGGGTTGATAATGAACAGAAACTGTAAATTTCATATCATTTTCAAAGTGAAAGGGGCATTACTCTGCCAAAAATCATTGAACCATGACCAGATTCGAACTTGGTCTGTGCATTCCAAAAACATATCCATATGTCAAATTTGAGTTGAATGTGTAATATTGTTGGGGAGATAATAAACGGAAACTGAAAATTTCATATTATTTTTAAAGTGAAAGGGAAATAACTCTGCCAAAAATCATCGAACCATGACCAAATTTTAACTTGACCTGCGCATTCCTTTGACGTATCAATATGTCAAATTTGAGTTGAATGTTTAATACTGTTGGGGAGATAATAAACAGAAACTGAAAATTTCATATTATTTTCAAAGTAAAAGGGGCATAACTCTGCCAAAAATCATTGAACCATGACCAAATTTGAACTTGACCTGCGCATTCCTTTGACGTATCCATATGTCAAGTTTGAGTTGAATGTGTTGTACCATTGGGGAGTTAATGAACGGAAACTGAAAATTTCATATTGTTTTCAAAGTAAAAGGGGCATAACTCTACCAAAAATCATCGAACCATGACCAAATTTGAACTTGACCTGTATTTTCTAATGACATATTAATATGTCAAGTTTGAGTTGAATGTGTTGTACCGTTGGGGAGATAATGAACGGAAACTGAAAATTTCATATTATTTTCAAAGTAAAAGGGGCATAACTCTGCCAAAAATCATCGAACCATGACCAATTTCGAACTTGACCTGTATTTTCTCATGACATATCCATATGTCAATTTTGAATTGAATGTTTTGAATCGTTTGGGAGATTATGAACGGAAACTGAAAATTTCATATTATTTTCAATGTAAAAGGGGCATAACTCTGCCAAAAATCATCGAACCATGACCAATTTCAAACTTGACCTGTATTTTCTCATGACATATCCATATGTCAAATTTGAGTTCAATATGTGCAAGGGTTATTAAGATAATGAACGGAAACTGATGATGACGGAAGGACGGAAGGACGGAAGGACGGAATGACGGAATGACGGAACAGGGTAACACTATATGCCCCTGCCATTATATGGCGGGGGCATAAGAAATCATATTATACTATATGTGTGCCTTAAATATAACATGTAATGACAATTTATTCTGTGATTGGTTTATTAAATTATAAATATATGATAAAAAGAGCATGCTTATGCATCAAAATCAACCAAGCTGGTGACATACAGAGCCAATATATATTTTCAATATTAAATAAAATCCTGGAATATAGATTTTCCCTTAAAATTTATATTGAAAAAATTGGGACTGTAACTCAGAATGTGCATAAATAAAGGAGACCTTTTTCTAAACTTCTGAAAAATCAATTAACAAAGATTTGAATATTTAGGTCACAATGATATACAGTCATAGCTCGATGAACTTCAACAAAATGTCTAAACAGACTGCATTGTACCCTTAATGTATATCAAACTAAGTTTTTGTTTTTTTTCTTTTCTTTTCTGGTTGGCTTTTAAGTCCCACCAACACAGTATAGGTCATCTGGACCTTAGATGCCAATCTGTCCATTATTTCAGGCACAAACAGGCACCTGAGTAGAACCACCAACGTTCTTTAGGCTGGCTGCATATCTTCCTCACATTAAAGAATCAGATTCAAACCCAAAGTGCTGAGGAGCAATTGGTTTGAAGTCAAAGATCTTAACCACTCTGCCACAGACACCCCTGATATCAGAATAAGTGGTTTGTCATTTGTAGAATAACTTCCCATGTACTGACCTCATTATAAATGGCACATATTAAAGAATTAGGCAATTTACAAATGCAACTATGTATATCAAAAGACATCTAAAGCACTTTAGAATATAAATAAATTAACTATTTGAGCCACGTCACCACAAAACCAACATAATGGGTTTGCGACCAGCATGGATCCAGACCAGCCTGCGCCTTCGCACAGTCTGATCAGGATCCATGCTGTTCGCTATCAGTTTCTCTACTTGTAATAGGGTTTGTAAGCGAACAGCATGGATCCAGATCGGACTGTGCTGGCCGGAAACCCATTATGTTGGTTTTGTCATGACGCGGCTAAATTAACTACAGTCAAGACTGTCATATGCGACTTTCCAAGGGATCTTCAGAAAAAGGTCACATATGACAGGGAGTCTCTTAATACAGTCTCAAAGAAGTCTCAAAGAAAATTAAATTTAAATACCATCTATCTGTCTATATACCATTGTGACTTAACATACATAACTGTGTGAAGGAATAATATCTAACCAATTGCAAATAAACATGGGTATTCGTAAATTTTTTATGTAAATAAAATAAGAATCTATGTAAAACAAATAAATATTAGCATGTATATCACATAAAATTTAATTTTATTTTTTGTAATAAGATTTAAATTGAATCTTTATGGTATAAATTAACTGGAATTTGATGCATTCAAATCCATACTTGTAAAAGTTAAACATACTCTATCCATATCCAAATCTTTTTCTGGTTTGGTATCAATATTTTTTCAGTATTAATTATGCAGCAATAGAAAGGTAAATTAAAAAAAATGCTGCCTAAAATATCTTCCGTTGGCACTCTATAATTAAAAAAAAATCTGACACAAGCTTAATCCAGTTTACTGAGGTCACATTACACACACATCGACTGCAGAACAGACGCTTAGTGACGTCACTCGATACCTGTATACATGTTAACTGTGTAATTGAGACAGAGGTGTGTAGACTTTGTTTGCTACTGGATTATAATTGGACTTAATTATTTTGGCCCTCTGGGTGTTAAAATATGTATTATTTATCTGTTTAACGGACAATTAAAAGGTGTGAAAGTCGTTTAAATCAGACAAAACATTGCATTGGGACCAGACAATTAGGGTCGCTTGTCACATATGACAGGGAGTCGTTTAATTCAGACCATTTATATAGGAAAATACGTTGGGAGTACTGAAACAAGGTCGGATAAGACAGGGAGTCGTTTAAATCAGGGGGTCGCTAAGGCAGTCTCGACTGTATTTCAATTATAACTTTAGTGACAATTTGTGAGTGAACATGTACATGAGTTATCTACATACTGATTTGACAATGTATATAATCATTATTACTAAATTCATGAAAAAATGTGTTTAAAGCAGCATGCCTCCAGATTCATGCTAGTTTTCATGAAAAATTTGAAAAATGTATTTAAAATAAAATATTGTTAAGTAAGCAAAGGTTGCAAATTTACACATTACAAACAGCATTCACAACTCATGTAAATTATCAAAATGAGGTCAAAATATTTAAAAATAGCCTTTATTGCATTAGTAACACAGTAGGACTGTGGTTTTAAATACAGAAATATCATTTATTGCACATAACATGTAAATTATTACTTAATTCTTGGATCTTTTTACTTTTCCAAAAACCTGTGTTCACCTCTCTCAGGCTTGATTTTATTGCAATATTTTGGCTCATCTGGAAACATGCTGCTTTAAAAACAAATGTTGGGGAATAAATAAGTGATATTAAACATTCAATGCTTATCAAAATTGTTTACAGATGCTAACTTTATACATGACAATTATACTAGTAGTGCTTTACTATCTATAGAATTAATGCATGATATCATATAAATAGAAATACATAACACAGACATTCTTATTTTAGCCCTATAGATTTAACATAAAAAAATCTGTTAAAATGATTAATTTAAAAAAAAAATGATTAAAGTCTTTATGTTTTGTCATGTATTTCATTTGACATAAGTTATTAATGATTTAATTTAACACCACAAACACACAGAAAGATTTCATTCCCATTCAGCTGTTTTCTGTTGTTACAGTCTCCACCATTTTTTTCTTTTCCAGAATGGTTCACTGTTTCTTTCATTCAGATCAATCACTTTCACTACCATTTATTGAGACCCAGTCTGTGTCTGGCAGCATTTCATGCTTGATGGCGAAACCAATGATAGCCAGGTGACAGAAAACGTACTGATCCGGCATTTGTATGCTAAATGCTCGCTGGGAGCGTATTTTACGCACTGTTTCACGTATATTTATTGTGTTTATGTGCACAAGTCTATGTAGGCTTATATCTGTGCATATAAATGTACCTGAGAAAAATGAAATAACAAATAGATAATTATTAAGGTGAAAACTGATAAGTACATAAGACTGGCCTAAAATAGGTAATTCTTTTTAATAATCTTAGATGAATAATGCAATGAACTCTCTATATGTCTGCTATATGGTAAAGTGATTTTTAAGATTGGACACAAGCTAGCAATTATTTCATTACCTGTAAATGCATACCTTTTGAAAAAACATCAGCCACTAACATTTAGATAATACAAGAATTTGTAACAGAGTTACCAACGTCCCCCGCCCCGGGAGTTTTATATGAAGCATAAAATTGTGCTATTTCAAAAGATTGAGGTATGGATCTCAGGACATTCAGTCCAAAATTATGATCAATGCAAGATCTGCAAATGTAACAATAAATTTGTTAAAAAAATAAAATGAAACACGGAATTTAAAAATCTATCATGTTAAGCTTTGACCTCTAAGTGTGAACTTGACCTTGGAGGTAGGGGAGCAGGTGTTGTGCATGACATAACGTCTTATTATTGTGACTATTTGTGCCAAGTTATTTCAAAATCCCTTGAACTATGAAGAAGTTCTAGATTCAACACAAAATATACCCTATAACAGACTATGTTAATTTTTGACCTCTAAGTGTGACCTTGACCTTGGAGGTAGGGATGCAGGTGTTGCTCATGACACATCCTCTTATTATAGTAACTATTTGTGCGAAGTATTTTCACAATCCTTTAATCTATGAAAAAATTATAGACCTGACACAAAATATACCCTGTAACAGACTATGTAAGTATTTGACCTCCAAGTGTGACCTTGACCTTGGAGGTAGGTGACTGGTTTTTGCGCATGACACATCGTCTGATTATTGTGAACAATTATGGCAAGTATTTACAAAATCCCTTCATAGATAAGAAAGTTATGGACCGGACACGACATATACCCTCAAATAGACAATGTTGACCTTGAATGAACAAGTACGACCTTGACCCTGAAGGTACAGGTCTGGTTGTTGCGCATGACACATCGTCTTATTATAACAAACATTTGTGCCAAGTTATCTCAAATTCCTTTGATAAATGACAAAGTTATGGACCGGACACGAAATATACCCTGTAACAGACTATGTTAATATTTGACCTCCAAGTGTGACCTTGACCTTGAAGGTAAGTGACTGCTTTTTCCGCATGACACATCGTCTGATAATTGTGAACAATTATGGCAAGTATTTACAAAATCCCTTCATAGATAAGAAAGTTATGGACCGGACACGAAATATACCCTGTAACAGACTATGTTTAATATTTGACCTCCAAGTGTCACCTTGACCTTGAAGGTAGGTGACTGGTTTTTGCGCATGACACATCGTCTGATTATTGTGAACAATTATGGCAAGTATTTACAAAATCCCTTCATAGATAAGAAAGTTATGGACCGGACACGACATATACCCTCAAATAGGCAATTTTGACCTTGAATGAGCAAGTGTGACCTTGACCCTGGAGGTAGGGGTCAGGTTGTTGCGCATGACACATCGTCTTATTATAATAAACATTTGTGCCAAGTTATCTCAAATTCCTTTCATAAATGACAAAGTTATGGACCGGACACGAAAGTGTGACGGACGGACAGACGGACGGACGGACAGACGGACGGAGCCTATTTCTATATCCCCCTTTTTTCTTTGAAAAGGCGGGGACAATTATATAAGAATTAAACATTACAATTACATAGCTTAATCAATTTAAATTCACCAAAAGAAAAAGCCACTCATTCTGCTGTCATCAGTAAACTACTACTCTGTGTTCAATACCCTAACAGCAAAGAAACAAAAATATGAACTGTATACAGTTCTGTTACTATACCTGTTCTACCAATGCCTGCACTACAATGTACCACCATGGGTGGTCCGTTGGGATGACCGTTCCACGCCGGCTCGAGTAATCTCATGGAATCTGCCTGACAGGCTCGTACCCGTAACAAAAAGTCGAGGAAACCCTCAGCTGGGGGGATACCATAATCAGGCCAACTGGTGAACTGTAAATGCTTAACTTGTCTAGCTTGACCAGTCTGTAAATATAAGTAGTTTAAATGAAATAGAGTATTATTAGACTTGATTGAGTCTGCACATGAGGGATAATGAATAAGTGCAACATCCCTCACGCCCCCTAGTTTAAACCTATTCTGGTGTGTATAGACATGTTGTTCTACAACCCTTCCTTGTTTATTTAGTTTAAAATATAGAAATGAAGAAAATTCTGTAACATGAATATTAATGGACATTATTCAGTTTTAAGTTTGTATAAAACATATCACGATTCCTGAGCTATTGAAGAGAAAAAAAATAAAATGATGTTTTCTTTAACAAGATGTAGTTTAAGTAATGGAACCAAAATTTTAACATTAAAACAGTTTATCGCAATTTAATTTTATATGATATTTTTCATCAAAGTCACATCTATACCACAGCTTCAGAGAGAAACATTATTATCTGAGCGGCGCCATGACAAAACCAACATAGTAAGTTTGCGACCAGCATGGATCCCGATCAGCCTGCGCATCTGCGCAGTCTGATCAGGTTTCATGCTGTTCGCTTACAAACACTATTACAAGTAGAGAAACTGATAGCGAACAGCATGGATCCTGATCAATCTGTGCAGATGAGCAGGCTGGTCTGGATCCATGATGGTCGCAAACACACTATGTTGGTTTTGTCATGGTGCAGCTCATTAATCATAACGGCACAAGTAGATAATTAATACTTACAAGTGTATTATGTAGTGTCAGACTGGTTATAGTGTAATCTCTGTTATGTTCCATCCCCCTGTTGGTAACGATAAACTCATCCATTCTTTCCTCAGTGTCCTCGTCTAGTGGCCAGTACTGACCGCACTTAACACGTCCTTTCTCCATTGTCCTGAATTAACCATCAAAATAATGACTGTACATGAACATTATAACCTTTTAAATTTTTCAACCTGTACAGAGCATTAATCCACTGAGAGAGGAAGAATTTTCCATTTTAAATTTCAGAAATGGTCATTACTTTACAAGTGTTAAATGTATAATATGTGTGCAAATACATTTTTGTCACAGCAAAAATGTTTTACTCTCATCAAAACTTTTAAAAATGGAAATGATATAAATATGAATAAACCAATTAAAGAACTGCATGTGAAAGTTGTTTAAATGATGACAAAAGCTAATCTTGTTTTGGTAAAAAACATTTACTAATCCAGGATAATACGTATTAGGATACAAGTGTACAGTGGAAGCAATTTATTAACATTTATCACTTTATAATTTATAAATTATAATGCACACAACATTTTCTAATTACAAATGCCTTTTTTTTCCAAGTACAAATGACTGGTCATAACTACTATTTCCTATGAAACTTACTTGGTTGTCATGACTATAGTCACACATTGTGACATCCAAACCATACGCCAAAAATCACCAAATGTTTTTGAAAACGGTCCTGAAAACAGTTAGTAAGAAAAACAAGTTCATTTATAAACTATAACAAATTTTCCAAACAAAAATAATATGAGCATTCATGTTTGAGGAATTTCATTGAGAATTCATGTGTATGCAATTTCTTTGAGCATTTATGTTTGATCAATTTCTGTGAACATTCATGTTTGATCTATGTCTTTGATCATGCATACTTGATCAATTTCTTTAAGAATGCATGTTTGATCAATTTCTTTGAGCATTCATGTTTGAGCATTTTCATTGAGAACTCATGTTTATGCCATATCTTAGAGAATGCATGTTTGATCAATTTCTTTGAGCATTCATGTTTGATCAATATCTTTGAGCATTCATGTTTGATCAATATCTTTGAGTATTCATGTTTGATCAATTTCTTTGAGTATTCATGTTTGATCAATTTCTTTGAGCATTCATGTTTGATCAATATCTTTGAGCATTCATGTTTGATCAATTTCTTTGAGCATTCATGTTTGATCAATTTCTTTGAGCATTCATGTTTGATCAATATCTTTGAGCATTCATGTTTGATCAATATCTTTGAGTTTCCCATTTGAAATATTTCTTTTTTGCTCACAAGTGTATATGTTAGAGAAGGAACCACTGTTTTCTTGCCTAATGTATTTCAAACAAAAGCCTGAATACTCTTATTGATATACTACAATGTTTTTTTAAATGGAAGAATACAACTATTGGAAACACTACACTACACTTTTATTGTAATTTGAATATTCAAACAAGTCAATCTCCTACATATTATTAAAGAAAGAAAATACAACAATCAGTGTATTTTTCGCCTTTTTTTAAAAAAAAAGGTTGGTTAACAGACTTGTTCCAAATGATGGCAAAATTAACAAATTGGGTATTGTAGCAGTTTTTTTCTGTGAACTTTAGCTTAATTTCTCATTTGGAGTATCCAAAACAATTTCAAATACAGAGAAGAAAACTGACATTTAGCAAATAATTTATGTCCCATAGAAAATACTGGTTTGTGGAGAAAAGTTCATCCTCTCACCTTGTGTGGAAATGTAGGCTCGTTTCTGCATGTACCCATCGACATAGTTGGCATTGATATAATCTGAGGAGGGGTCATCTTCTGTCTGAGGCAAGGTAACTCTTGTCTGATCATAACATAATACATCAGAGTAACGGTTCTTTGGGAGATTGTGCTTAGCTCTGTTTAAAAAAAAGAAAGCAAAGTTACTATTGTATAATCGTACAAAATACATCACAATAATTGTTTTTTGATCAAACAGCACTTTACTCTGCACAAATCAAGAAAGGTAACCCTTGTATTATTAAAATAAAGTTTAGCAGAGTATCAGTTCTTGGGGGCTGATTGTGAAATTTACTAAAAACTTTGTCTCACATCTCAGTTGCTACCAATGTTTTAACATCAAGAGCTACCCTATAATATCTCATCCTTTGGCATTATTTTAGTCCACATTAAAAGTGACCGCTATAAATTCCACACCTGCTTGACAGGATTGTTGGCCAAAGAGCCATCGAACATACACCCACCCTGTAAAATTTACCTAGGTAAATTCATGACTTTTTTTATGGTTCAAGAAACTTCTATAATTCGTCAACTGTATTTGAGAAGGTAATTTTTTGTTTGTCTTGGAAAATATTACAGGATAGATTTTGTCAGGTGGGCTTTGTCTGTCTCTAGCTTGACATGTAATGCAAACTCTTTACCCACCACAACCCAAATTGATTAGCCTTTGCCACCAGTATAGAACCAGGCTGGTCTGCACTTCTGTACAGACTGACCAAACACTATACTAATGGTTTCTTAATTTTTTTACTTTGATACTTAAATCTGTTTAACTCAAACGATTGTTCTGTAAAAAAAATCAAAACAGGGCAAATCCATTGAATAACTTCAACAGGTTAAGGGGTTGAATTAATCTGCCACACTGCATATTGCTGGCATATGCATAAAAAGACAAGCATGGATCATTCATCAGAAGATTCTTCCTGGTTGTTCATTACCATAAAACTCTTCCTTTTATGTACATTTAGTCAGCATCTTTGAATAATCAAAATTAATTACCTGTTTTACTGAAACACAATTTTCTTGGGCCTTTGCAAGCTTAACAAATAAAAAACTTAGAACTCAGAACTGTAACAGGCTTTAGATTTTGAGTGTTGGCTTTCAGTTTTTATGTTTTACTTTTAACATAATGGACTACTTCAAATTCATAGAATATACAAGTCCATCACATATATACATGTACAGTGCTGTCTAGGTAAAGATTTCAAAGGGCAGAACTAATTTACAGATATTAAATTGGAAATAACTCTGTCATTATGAAGCAAGTTTTTATATAAATCCTACATGTATATGGCTTAACTTGAGGTAAATAAGAATCTCTGATTACAAAGGTTGACTATTAAAATGAAAGTGTCACCCTTAAAAACATGACTTCCTCATATCCCAAATAAAGGAAGACTCAAGTAACAGGTTAAAATGATTCTAGATGACTACTGTGTACTTACTTTGATGCAATAAAAGTGTCTGCAGGTGCTTCTCGTCTGATTTCAGAATATTCCTCGTATAAACCTTTCTTCCCTTTTTGTTTATAGTGCGCGACTAGTTCAGCGACGGTCATTCCTCCTTCTTCTGCCATATGTATAGAGTCCTCCCATATATTAGATACTTGCGATGTTGGTCTCTTTTTGCAAGGGTTTGGAGGTGGCATTCCGTCCATATTAATGTCCATGGGATGAGATTCTGGGCTTTCCTTACCACTATTGCGACTGGAATTCTGTATATTACCCGAATCATGTCTACGCTTTGATTTACTCCGCCAACCTTCTTTTTCAACATTCACTTCCTTTTCACGTCCATTAATATCTATCAGATCATCTTTTTCACCTTCTTCGTTACTTTGTTTTTCTGATACAGTATCTTTAGAATCCTCCGATTCTAGGCCGCCATCGTTTACATGAACAAAATCTGAATTTTCACTAGAACTATGCGATACCGATTGTTTTCGAGAAACAAAATATGAGTCTAGAACCTCAAAATTAGACTGATGAATTTGAGCACACACTTGTAACCAAAGGCGATGGTTAACACTTAGGTTTCCTCCAAATTTTTGGGGAAGAGAATCACGGGGTATATGTTGGAGGAGTTGATCTTTATTAACTGTGTAAACCTGGAATAGTACAAATCTGTGTTAAAATTATGTTAACTGTGTAAACCTGGAATAGTACAAATCTGTCTTAAAATTATGTTAACAAGTAATGAGGATTATTCGCCTGAATATGGTAAAATTAAATTTACAGTGTATCATATGCATATAGAACAATATGCATATACCTAAATTCTATATCTTATAATCTAAAAACAATTATTTTTCCTCTGTGAGGAACTATTTTGTTTCCTACATCAATCACTTGAATCAAAGACAAGAGGGCCATGATGGCCCTGAGGTCGCTCACCTGTATATAGGCCCCCCCAACCCCCACCCCCCCCAAACGTTGCAGGGCCAATTTAACCAAAGGGCTTTTATTTGCACAAACTTGGTAGACACCCATAAGAAGATGATTCATGCTAAACATCTAAGCTCTAGCTCATTGGGCTATTTAAAAGAAGATTTTATTAAAGTTTTTACTATACACATATAGTTAAAAACAATGACACCCCTTGGGCCGGGCCAGTTATGACCCCAGGGTTTTTATTTGAACAAACTTTGTACACACTTACTAGAATATGTTTCATGCTTAATATCTAAACTCTAGCTATTTGGGTTTTTTCAAAGAAGATTTTAAGTTTTTGCTATACACATATAAGGAAAATCAATGACCCCGGGGCGGGGCCAATTTTGACCCCAGGTCTTTTATTTGAACAAACTTTGTAGACACTCACTAAAAGATGTTTCATGCTTAATATCTTAACTCTAGCTATTTGGGTTTTTTCAAAAAAGATTTTTTAAGTTTTTGCTATACACATATAAGGAAAATCAATAACCCCCGGGGCGGGGCCAATTTTGACCCCAGGGCTTTTATTTGAACAAACTTGGTAGACACCTATTAGAACATGTTTGATGCTAAATATCTTAACCATAGCTCTTTGAGTTCTTTAAAAGAAGACTTTTTAAGTTTTTACTATATGCATATATAGGGAAAATCAATGACCCCCAGGGGCGGGGTCAATTTTGACCCCAGGGCTTTTATTTGAACAAACTTGGTAGACACTTATTAGAACATGTTTCCTGCTAAATATCTTAGCTCTAACTCCTTTGGTTCTTTAAAAGAAGATTTTTTTAAGTTTTTACTATATGCATATAGGGAAAATCAATGACCCCCTGGGGGCGGGGCCAATTTTGACCCCAGGGCTTTTCTTTGAACAAACTTGGTAGACACCTATTAGAACATGTTTTGATGCTCAATATCTTAGCCATAGCTCTTTGAGTTCTTTAATAGAAGATTTTTTTAAGTTTCTACTATATGCATATAGGGAAAATCAATGACCCCGGGGCGGGGCCAATTTTGACCCCAGGGCTTTTATTTGAACAAACTTGGTAGACACTCACTAGAAGATGTTTCATGCCAAATATCTAAGCTCTAGCTCTTATGGTTTTTTAAAAGAAGATATTTAAAGTTTTTTCTTTCGGTTGCCATGGCAACCAGAGTTCTGCATGGAATTAAATTCTTTGAACAATTTTTAAAGGTGACCACCAAAGGAACATTCCTGTGAAGTTTGGATGAAATTGGCCTTGTGGTTTATGAGGAGATGTCATTTAAAGTAAAAGTTTACGGACGACGGACGACGGACGACGGACGGACGACGGACGCCGGACGAAAAGCGATCACAAAAGCTCACCCTGTCACTTTGTGACAGGTGAGCTAATAAAGGACAGAGAAATTGTTAAAGGTATAATTGTCTTCAATCTACTTTTAACAAAGGACTTCATGCCTAGATCCAGAGATTGGGAGTGGGGGTTAGTGGGTCATATTTTGCCAGTTGTAAAATGTACACAACATTATTTACATGTATCATGAAACTGAAATTTACCCATAACCTGATGCAGCTGAAAGTTATAAACCTTTGCCACCATTATAGAGCTAATAAGCCATTTTGCACTTTCATCCAGTCTGACACTGCTCTATACCATAAGTAGCTCAATTTTTTGTAAGGGGTGTCAAGTTTATTCGTTTAAATGGGTGCGGTCGGTTTTTAACTAACAACTGGTCCGAAAATTTAATAACCGGTAACCGAGGTTAGTATTTGACAATGAAAAGAAAAAGTTTTAAATTGATTCTTGACATTCCCTTAGTTTCTTATAACAAGATATGACAATTTGTTTGCATTTAAGTTGTACTCACCAACGTACTTTCTTCTGATCTCATCGAGTACGGTATGACACTAACGGAAAATGATCACTCCATATTTTAATTATTTTGAGTACAAAAAATGCGAACAAAATGTGATATCTTGTCATAAAGAAACAAAGTTAATGTTGAAAATCTTAGGATTTTATAAGTATGTTTAAGCAGGTTATCTGGTCTCTGTTAAAACAGTTAGCATTTTTTCTAACCATGACACCCCTAATTTTTGTAATTCGGATAAGTAAAAGTTTGTGGAGAGATAAATATATCAAACACCAGGTGGTTCTAAACCTTTTTTAAATTCAAATGAACTGTTACTTTAAATTCAAATGAACTATTCCTTTAAATGAAATGTTCCTTTACTTTCTAATGAACAGTCAACTATTCCTTTAAGTTCAAATGAACTGTTCCATATTCAAATGAACTGTTCCTTTAAATTCAGATGAACTGCTCCAAATTCAAAAGAACTGTTCCTTTTAATTTAAATGAACTGTTCCATTATGTTCAAATGAACTGTTCCAAATTCAAATGAACTGTTTCATATCATTTGAACTGTTATTTTATATTCAAATGAACTGTTCCTTTAAATTCAAATGTCGAACTACTCCTTTAAATTCTAATGAACTGTTCCTTTAAATTCAAATGAAATATCCCTTTAAATTTCAATGAACTGTTCTTTTATATTCAAATGAACTGTTCCTTTAAATTCTAATGAACTGTTCCTTTAAATTCTAATGAACTGTTCCTTTAAATTCTAATAAACTGCTCCAAATTCAAAAGAACTGTTCCAAGTTCAAAGCAGGAAAAATCTATCAAATAAATTTGACAGTTTAAATCTTTACTTTATCATCTATGGAAAAGACTTTATACTGAAATTAAGCACATATATCATTAATAATCTTCAGATGCATTAAGAGTAATACTTACTCTATCTCGTAATTTCTCTCTCACAAACAGACGTAATATCTTAAATGGAGCTTTAAACCATAGTGGTGCAGTCACTATAAGCACTTTCTTCAGTCTAGCTGGATATGCTCCCTGGAAATAAAACAAATATTGATATAAATCATGTATGTATTTAATATGTTTATCAATGTATAATAAGTTTATCAATGTATGTGTATAATATGTTTATCAATGTATGTGTATAATATGTAATCAATGTATTATATGTTTATCTATGTATGTGTATATGTTTTTCAATGTATGTGTATAATATGTTTATCAATGTATGTGTGTAATATTACATGCTTATCAATTTATGTGTATAATATGTTTATCAATTTATGTGTATAACATGTTTGCCAATGTATGTGTATATGTTTATCAATGTATGTACATAATATGTTTGCCAATGTATGTGTATAATACATGTATATATGTTTATCAATGTAAGTGTATAATATGTTTATCAATGTAATTGTATAATATGTTTATCTATTAACATCAGCCTTCTGGCGACAACTTATATTACCCACGCAACCATTGCAAAAAAAGATCAGCTAGGACCTGTGAGATATATCAGTTTCCTGTACAAACACTTACTGCTGCAAAGTTGATAAGTATGGTTATTCAAGTCTTAAAGTCATTAATTAAAACCAGTTTCAGATTTTATATCTAGTTTCAGTTTCTTAAGGAACTTATCTATGAGTAGAGCTAGTGAATAGGACGCCAATTTAACCAAACATCAAGTTATCTTTAAGGAAATTTTTTAGATAAAAATATTTCAATGTTGTTTTTTTTGTTTTGTTGGATATTAAGTTAAACCAAAGTCATTTGCCAGCTTTACTGGTGGAGAAAAAACTAGCTACCGGGATAGCTTCCTCACTTGCAAGAAGTCCCTGCAGGCAAGGATAAGTGATTTATTGTCAGAAATCTTAACCACTCAGCTACTGGGTCACCAAATTTTATGAATGGGTTCTCTAAGAATTCATCAATTTTCAAGAATGAGTGAAGGGTTTGGCAAACCAACTTCCTGTTAATACCATCCCCTTTCAGTCAAATGTAATCATACAAGAAGTAAGTGATTTTAAGTGCAATTGAATTTCATCTCAAAACAATTAACATTAAATTTCTATCCAGAATATTAATCTTATTCTAAGAATATGTCATTAATACCCCATTGGGCCCCAAATTTATACAACTTTTTTGTTTTTTGGTGTCCTGTTACAGCTTCTAACAGTTACTCGTTAAGTATTTTGTATGGAAGTTAAAATAACACTTTGTTTGTATTTTGATACTTTTGTAACAAAGTATTTTACATTTAGCGCTACTTTGTTCCGGCAATAATCGCTGTATGTATAAGTAGTGTCATGGTCAGCAAAAAAGCTAAACGTTGAACTTTTAAAACGGCAACCTAAAAACCATGTTAAACGTTTAACCGACCGTACTAAAAAAATTCTTAGATTTTCAGCATTGATTTTGTTTGTTTATGATTAGATATAACATTCTTGTTGAGTTTTCTAGTACTCAAATTGATAACAATACATATCCAATTATGGATTAACTTATTTTAGTAGGGCTGTACCATTCGGGTTCAGATTACATGTAATCGGTTAAAAAATACAATGTTGAGTACAATTTAAATACAAACAAAATGTCATATCTTGTTATAAAATCAAGGTAAGGTTTAGAATCAATTTAAAACTTTTTAGGCTGTTTGTCTAATACTTACCCCAGTTTTCGTTAATTAAATTTTCTAACTGTTTTTTTTGTGCTAAAAATCGACTGTACCTGTTTAAATGGATAAACGTTACACCCCAAGTATGTATTATCAAACTAAAATAAAACACATATCTGCCCTAAGTTGTTGATGAGAGTTGGTGATAAGGTCACCACATTTGTACTGATTAAATAAACTTCACAGATTATGACAATGTTTTTATATTGTTTTTTTTTTCTGTCTCTTTAGTTAGGTTTTAAGTTACTCCAACACTTGTAAAGTTATATGGCAACTTTTCAGCTTTAAATTTGGACAGAAGGCGTCAGATGCTCCTCTATGCATTACCTTACGATCCAAGCAAGCATCTGAGTATATGTAGATCCACCAACCTTCTAAGACCAAGCTGTCAAGCTTCCTCACAAAAGTCCCTGGTAAAATTTAACCCACAGAAGCTAGGGACAATTGGTTTGAAACAAAGGACCATAAATAACCAATTGGTCACAGAGGTCCCACACTGATAAATGAAGACAAAACTTGTCAATATACTCTGATGGAGCATAATAATCATTGATTCTGCTGCCTACTGTCTATTTATATAGAGAGATTTATCTAAACTTTATATTAATTAAATTGATAATGAAAGTATGTATGTTGAAGACATACCTTAAGCATGTTGAGAATTTTAATGCTAAGATCGTAATCAAAGTTGCTGTATTTGGATTCTGACATATCATATATAAACACTATCCCGTGACGCTGGGTCTCTCGACTGTAATTAAAATAAAGAATAATATGTTTTAAATGTAGTAATTTGATTTTAAAATCTCTTTAACTATCATAAGGTAATTCATAATAAATAGAAAAAGATAAGTAGTTAACAGCAAATTCTTAAAATTCCCTTTAATATACCAACCAGCGTTTTTTTGCTGGACAGACTTCTTCAGGATACATAAATAAATAATAAACTGGAAATTATGTCAACGTCACATGACGTCAATAGCAATGGTGTCAAAACATAACAAATAGTTTGGCGTAATAATCATAGACAAGATCAATTTGATGCATTTTACTAGAGATACTGCCCTAATTCATAGAAATTCTAGCATATAAACATGTTCAGCAACCTAAATCATTAAAGCTGAATGCCTCCAGATGAGCAAAAATATTTTAATAAAATTAAAGTTGAGAAAATTGGACTAAGATTTTAAGAAAAGTAAAACAAAACAAGATTCAAGTAAAAATTTACATACATGTATATTGTGTCGTTAAGGACTGATTTTGCAGTATTTATAACCATATTTCTACTGCGTTACTAATGCAGTAAGGGCTATTTTTGCTTATTTCGTCCTCATTTTGGTGGGTTATTTTCGTGGATTGCAAGTGCTGTTTGCAATGTGTAATTTATTTTCTTTGTTCACTTCACAATATTTTACTTTTAAATACATTTTTAAAATTTTCATCTGGAGGCATTATGCTTTAAATGATAACAAAAAGTTTACAAACTAGATGTATAGTACAATCTTTAAAGAGTAATTAAAGATGTTGTGGGTTTTTTCCCACACCATATTCAATCTGAAATAGCTCATAACTTTTATAATCAAGGTCATAGCATAAAAATGCTGTATACTGATAAAGAGATAGATAAAATTACATTTTAGATAGATAATTTGACCAATAATGTGTTAATGTGCTATGAAACTAACAAAAAAAATCATTTTAGATAATTTCAAATTTTTTATAACAATTTACTTCCTTGTGAGCTATACATAGATAATGATATATATTACTCATCATATGATAACTAGCTCATACCAATTGTTATTATTCGTTATTCTATATACAGAATAACCCTGCAAAGCAAGACCACTTGATGTTCTTTCAAAAGGTGGTCTTAATAATAATGGTGTGGTCCTTTCTTTAAAGGGTTAGAGTGTCGTTCAAACTATGTTCGTTTTCTTAGTTAAGACATTGCTTAACAAATACATTAACGAGTAAGTATAAGTGTAAAACATAAATGCCCTGTAAGTTAAAACATAAGAAATTTCAAATCTGTGTAGAAATTTTGTAAACTTTAAACATTTTACATGGTAGTTTAGTAATTTAGGGCTTGAAGTCATACTTCAAATTATCCAAATCAGCAATCATCCAGAGTATGATCTGTGCATGTATATAAGCTCTAGAGCTAATAGAATTAAAATTTACACCTAAGATTAAAGTTTTCTGCAGAGAGATGAACAAGTAAATCAACAGACAGGCAGGACCCTGATCAATCAATCAATCAATGCATAGAAAAATCTTTGAAATGTGATAAGTCAATACTCAGGCATAGGAATAATCTTTGAAGCGTGCATACAAGTAACCTACCTCTCTAAAGCAGCATCAAGCAGATAAACAAGTGCCTTGAGGACCACCTGGTGTGTTGTGTCCGTGGGACTGTGATATTTTGCTGTAAATAATGCTATACCCGCACCGTGACTGTCTCTCCCAGACTAAATATTCAAAAACATCGTCACATTATATATATTTCAATAAATTTGTACTTGATACAAGAGTTAACTTCACAAATCTTTCAGTTATTACTATTATATTAAAAACAATGTCAAAAATTAGCATATTTTCACTCAAATAACCCACTAAAGATGAAAATTCGAGAAATTTATTTGCAGTTTTATGATCAAATTTAATGAATCTTACCAAAACTGTAAATTTTCCCGTAGTTAGTTCTTTCTGCAAATTTGGATCACTAAAGTCTATATCTTGTAGTTCTTCTTTAGTTCTCATCTCCTATAAATAAAACACTTATTAGTATATTTACCCTAAAAGACCAAATATGGTAGAGACTGAGCAAATGCAATATATGGTATTAGTAATTAATATAAAACAAGAGCTGTCAGTAGGACAGCATGCCCGACTATTCTCAGTGCTCGATAGCTAAACAAAGGCCTGGATAATGTAGAATTTTTTAAGTTTAAACAGGTCTATAATTCTGTCAAACTTCATTTATGAATTATAGGCCTTAGACAGTGACCTCTTATTATGCTTTCAAATCAAAGTGTAAAGCTACAACTGATTCCTTTCAGTAGACTTGGAGATACCAACTTGCAAGCATTGACTAAAACAAAGTGTGATGTTGATGACAACGCAGGTTGAGTACAATAGCTCTCCCTATTCGTCGAATAGTCAAGCTAACAAGGCACTGGTTCAGACATCTTGTAATTAAAACAAAATACATGTATATACAGTAAATTAATATATATTGTAAAATTGCTTTAAGCTATAAAGCTTGTATTATACATGTATACACATAAATGGTTTCTACTAGAGGTCACTAAGTTAAGTAAGTTTATAACTTAATTGAACAACTTTTTGCATGAAATGTTATAATTTGAATACAATATGCATGTAGCTTTAACTCCTTAAAAAATGTTGTGTCACTGTGAAATGCAACTTAGGTCACACAGCCACTGTACTAAAACAAAACTGTCAGACAGGTTCAAGTGATTAATCATTACTTTAAGTGTGACAAATTATCAAGGAAAATTATTGTTTATATAATAATGTCCTCATTAAAATGATCAGTAACTTAAGTATGTATAAGTAATAGGAAAATATTTTATTAATGGTGCAAATGAAATTTGGTATTCTTTACCAATGTAGAAAAAATTAATATCTATCATATGTTTAAAATGACACCATAGGAGCATATATTAAGTATCAGTACTTGAATTTATTTTATACTATTTTGAGTAGCTAGTGACGGAAGTAGGGATACTGATGGGGGGAAACAAGGGGGAGGGGGCGGCGGGATAAAATAACAAACCAGATAATGAATGAAATAAAATGTGAGCAGGAAGAGAATACTTGAATATAAGGAGATGTTGACAAAGTGCAAAACAATGTGAACAATTGTTTAACTTGTTCAACTCATTTCCTGATTCCTAAAGATTAGAAAATCGATCACTTTTCTTAAACTAAAGTATGTTCTTACGGCCTTCATTTCCTTATATGGTAATCAGACCAAACAATAAATATTCATACCATTTAGCCATTCAACAAAAATTACACCAAATTTATCTAGTTTGTTCTAATTTTTATTTTAAGATTAGGTTCCTGGTGTTACCATCCCCTAAACTAGCAACAGCCAAGTCCAAATTCAAAGTTGGACCATTCCATTTCATAAATATAGTGAGTTTGCCTCTGACAATTATTATCAATACCTCGTGAGATCTATACAATTCCACTGCCCGTCTATAGTCAAATTTCCTGGCCATAAGAAATTTAACAGCTGTGTTTCTCGGAAATGGTGGTTGCTGTTCATTCTGACGGTATGCGTTCACCTTCTCTGAGAATGTGTTCAATATCTGAAATAACATATATGCTTGTGTTATCATGTATGTTCTGAATAAGATAAATGCACAATTACACATCTATTGTGAAATGGCTGTTAAATTCATTACTTAAGCTGAGTTTTTATGTATTTGGTTCATAGTCTTTCTTAGATACATCATACATGTACCTCTAAAAATAAAATACAATGTCCATGTATGTACAATGGAAATACACATTTTGTATGACACTAAAACAGAATTTGTTAGATTGTTTAAAATCATGAGATGAAACAAACTGAACAAAAAATACAATCATAATTTGCTGTATAATATATATTTTAAGCCATTAAGCTGTTTTTCACTGCCAATCAATTTATTAATTAATTAATTAGTAATATATTTCAAGAGAATGACTACAATAATGGTGACTGGCCAATAGTTGATAATGAAAAAATGTTTTGGACTGTATGTAAAAATGTACATAAATTATCAAAAGACTGCCCGACTCTTTAAAAAAAAAAAAGAATGTTACTGATAAATTCCTAACAATATTTACAGAAATGCCTGTGCAGTCACATGGATTACTGATTATTTTTGCATTTAACAGTAAATATCAATTGAACACAAGTATGGTAAAATGTAAAGTTATTTTGACTTGTGCACTCACCATTTACACTTGGATGGGCATAAATTAATGTCACTTAAAGAGTAATTTTTTGAAAAGCTTATTGGATAAAACTTGATATTAAATTTTGTGCTTCCATCATAACTATCAATAAAAAAAAAGTTCAAAGGTAAGCCACTTCCGATGATGTTAGATGATACTATGAGTGCTTTTCTAGGGCAAATTCAGCCCCATTCCACTCCTCAAAAAAAAAAGTATTTTTTTTCCCTATAGCTGAAAATAAATTTCCTGTAACATAAAATATCACTTATTTATAAGAGTTTACAAGAGTAGAACAAAGATTTGAAAACACAATGGTATTCCTCTACAGTTAACATAACTTATATATATATACATGTATTTGGAAAACAATGGACTGTTTTGTCTAGATGCAGGGCAAGTGACCCTATAAATTTACTTGCCCTTCACAAAATGTACTTGCCCTGCATTTTGATGAACAAAAATAGTTAAAATTTATCAAAAACACATGACTCAAATTTACTATTTACTGGTCCATCTTGGTAAAACTTGGTTTATTTAATAACATATTGCTGTATTGTACATTTCATACTTTTAATATATAATTAAAAAATATCCTTTATATGCATCTTATCAATAAAATTAAGAAGAAATAGATGCTGTGGCAATATCAACTTGTGGTATGTTACGGTTTTGCCATATCCTTTTCCCGAAATGGAATTATTAATCCCGATATTGGATTTTAAGTGAATTTATGTTATCTGACAGGTAGATATCATATAAAATATGAAATAGCCGTATTTCAAAAGTAAAAATAGTGGTTGAGTGAATTGTGTGACCAAAAGTGTTCTGTACAGTTAAAATGTCTAAGTACAATAAAATAGCGAGGTTTAAGAGCTGGCCCGAAGAGCCTGCTCGCAAAGCGAGCTTTACGGTAACACGAGTACCGGCTAGATAGTGATGGTTTTGAAAACTTTCGTCCGAAGTACCGATTTGACACATCGCAACTTTTTGAATTACAAGATAAGGATAAAAGCCGAGGTATTCTGATTGGAAACAGAAGCGTTGACTGGTGTCCTGTGCACTTATATGGAAACCATAAAAGGAAAGGGAAACCATAAAAGGAAAGGGAACCAGAATAAACAGAAGCAATGTATAAAATACCGAATGACAATTTTAAAACGGAAAATGTAAAATAAAAATGAATGATAATTTTATACTATTTCACGGTAAAAGAAAATCGAGCCCGAAGGGCCTGCTCGCACAGCGAGCTTTACAGTAACGCGAGTACCTGCTAAGTGATGGTTTTGAAAACTTTCGTCCAAAGTACCGAATTGGACACATCACAACCTTTCGAATTTAAAGATAACAATAAGAACTGAGGAATTCTGACTGAAAACGGATGTGTAGACTGGTCACCCGCGCACGTCTATGAGAACCATAATTGGACTGGGAACCAGAATAACGGAAGCTGTGTATAAAATATCGAATGATAAAATGAAAATCGAAGGCGCCATTTTGTTTGAAATCTGATAAATAAACAGGGCTCTAGCAACTGGGCGATTTGGGCGACTTAGTCGCCTAAAGTTTCAGAACTTCGCCGAGTTTGAACATCAAAGCGAAAACGACTTCGCCGCGCATTTTTACTGACCACATGTACATATAGCATATAGATTAAGTTAATCCTCGCCTCCAGGCATAAATCAAACTGAATTGGTGACGCACAGTTACTGCCGATAATTGAAATCAATTAACACATTTAAGTGACATGATATGCATCGGACATTAGTGCCATTTTATTCGCCGATGTAAACATCACATTTTTTAACACCTGTCACTATTTTATCAGCGAGTGTAAAAAGATTACACCCGGAATTGCTCTTACCATATTTGACAGTAAATACACGCATATAAATTAATACACACAGAAGCACAAGTAAATGGTTTGATACCTGTTTGATAGTAAAAATGAAATTTGTTAAAGAACTTATTGACCCACATTCTAGACCAATTTTGGACAAGTCGAAAAAAGTCGGTAAATTATGCGGTAAACTACACATTTGAAAATTTTGTTTTACAATGCCTGTTGCAATAGCAGATGAATAACAATCTAAAAATGATCATTGAATATTTAATTTAATATAATCAAAATCGACAACAACTAGAATTATAAGTGTTTCTGCAGGAAAAAGACAAATTTTCATTTGTCACATATTTTCGCGATGCCGATTTTTACGATGAAAAAATAAAGTTACCAAAAGGAAAATTTGTTTTGTTAAAATGTGTCCAATAGCACTTAAAATGTAGTTTATTAATGAAAATTCCTTAAGGTATTGTTTACATTAATTTTGATTGAGAATTTTGCCAGTATGTGTTGTACAATGAAAATTTTCTTAAGGGAGGGGGGTGTGTGGAGTTAATCAGGAAGAAAACATTATAATGGTCTGATGATAGAGGGTTTTAGAATTTATACTTCAAATATCATTATCAATAAATATGTAAAACTCCTTTTTATAGATCAAATCAATGTGCTAAGCCCTTTTTCACTTCTCCTTATGTCGTCAAACTTCTCCCTGATAGGAGCTGAGGGAGAAGTCACTTCTCCCTAAAATTTTGGTCTAGCTAGAGCCCTGATAAAAACAATTTTTTGTCGATTGTTGTTGTGAAAATTATCTAGAATGAAAGAAAATGGTCTAACTAAGAAAATGAATCCGAACACCAATATCTTTTATTCAGTCGTTAACGCTGTACAGACGTTTAAAGTATTGTTTACGTGCATGACGTCACAATGTAGCGCCAAACAGCACGTGCAAAACAAACAAATCAAGTACGCTATTTTAATGTCGCAAACGTTTTAAGTTTTACATTTATTTCACTTTAAATAATCTTTATTTCGCTTGAAAAAATATAGAGTGAAATAAAATAAACAAAGTTTTATCAACGTTTTCAAAACTCGTTATTCATTTCATGACAGGGGACACAGTACGTGTGACGTCACACGCACTTGTCACTGCATTTGAAATAAAAATGAGCGATTATTTCATACTATTTCACGTAAAAAGTACATCGAGCTCGCTTTGAGGCTTTGCCTTTTTCATATTAAAAACTGTTAAGTAAAGGTGTAGTTTAAACCTGGCACTACTGAGCAGCCAGCGATAGGTTTAATAAATATGGTTGTATTAAAAAGTTCTATAATTTTTTTTTAAGAACTTTCTTTGAGGCTTTACCTTATTCATATTATGTTAATCATAATGACAGTAAATTATGATAAAAATGGAAAAAATAAAATTTCTTGCTTATTACCCTGAAATACATGAAATATTTTAACAAGCTTGAAAAAATATTATTTAAAAGTAAAACAGATACTGACATAGATCCGGTACAAGTCAACCCGGCCCCAAGTCAACCCGGCCCCAAGTCAGCCCGTCCCCAAATTGGTCAACCCGGCCCCAAACCAATGTTATTTCTGGTCAACCCGGCCCCATTATTTTTATTTATTTTGCTTTAAAATATTAAAGATTGAAGATACCGAATATGACTTGTTGTTTCCAAACTTGTTTCTTTTATTTTTTTTTTATTTCTTTTTTGGTATTTTTTTGTCACATAATTTATAATACATGCAAAAATCGTTAAAAAATCGTTAAATTATGCCCGTAAATGAAAAAGTTACAAGTTATATTCGTTGCATGTTCTAAAAGTCATATCCTTGGCGGAACTTATACACCGTACGTTGCATATTCTAAAGAAAAGTCATACCGAATATGACTTATATTTTATAAAGTTTCTGATTGTTTTTCTTGATACCACTTTATTTCCATGTGTCTATGATAAATCGCCAATAACACCTTTAATGATGGGCTTTAATAAGTGTGTGTCAATTACGATAAGTGCGAAAATCCAATAATCAAATCATCGTATTAGCGCATTGATTGCTGCCGACAACCATGTGCACGTGTCATACGTTGTATCATTTTTTCCTTTTCTCAAATAGAAAGATCTTGTCCGTGCATTATCTAACTTATTTCAGCTGATAACGAGTCATATTCGGTATATTCTATTTGCCATGGATATGACTTTTATATGGAACAAGAAACTTACCACTTTTAAATTATGGGCAAAATTTAACGATTTGCTTCATGTATTATTATTTTAACTTTATATATATAATGTAAATGAAGTTAAAAACATACAAAAAACTTGCGATTTGTACGGTGGCACAGAGGTGACATGTGGGTGTCTTTATTTATCTCGTTCCCACGAGATAATAAGTCGTTCCCACGAGATAATATCTCGTTCCCACGAGATAATATCTCGTTCCCACGAGATAATTATCTCGTTCCCACGAGATAATAAGTCGTTCCCACGACATAATATCTCGTTCCCACGACAT